GAGGTCGTTGAGTTCTGTGACTTCAATGTACTTGGAGTAGTAATCTACTGACAGTACATAGTTTTTGCTCTTGAACGTAAATATGTCAGATGCCGCTTTGTCCCAATGGAAGACTGTATCTTTCTTTGTTAGGTGCCGTAGCGGCTCTTCTACCTCAGCCAAGCGTGGTAAGAACTTGGCTAGGTATTGAACTGATCCCAGAAAACAGCGGACATCATCTTTGTTCTCGGGTGCTGGCATGTTTTTCATCACTTCGACTTTCGTGGGATCCGGTTTGAGCCCATGTGCTGATATGAGATGTCCCACGTACGGCACTTCCTCTTTCCTGATCTTCACCTTGTCGAAGTTTAACTTCAAGTTGTAGCTCTGAGCACGATCAAGGACTTGTCGTAAGACAGCATCATGATGCGCTACGTCACGGGCAGCTATCAGAATATCATCCATAATGGCATATGCATATTCTATCCCCTCTAACATGTCATCCATTGCTCTCTGATACATCTCTGGTGCGGATTTGATGCCAAAGGGTAGCTTTAGCCAATGGTATCGACCTAACGGTGTGTTCATCGTTGTAAGGAGACTGTATTCATAGTCTATCTTCATTTGAAGATATCCACTCTTGGCATCCAATACTGAGAACACTTTGGCTCCGGAGATTTTCGTGGTAATTTCTTCCACTGTTTTACTAGGGTAGTGTTCTCGCTTTATCGCTTTGTTCAGGTCAGATGGGTCGATGCAGATGCGGATCTTCTGTCCTTTCAATGCGACAACCATAGAATTAACCCAATCTGTGGGCTGGGTTGCTTTTGCCAAATGCCCCTCTTTTTCCATTTCTTTTAGCTTGCTCGTAATCTTTGGTAGGAGTGCTGTGGGTTGCCTTCTTGGACCATGTACTACAGGGGTCACTGTTGGGTCAATCTTAATCTAGTATGTCCCTGGCATCGATCCTGTTGCATTTTCCAAATCTGGATGTTGGATAAGAAGCTCTTTAAGGTTGTGGTCGATTTCGTGTATTCGCTTTACTAGGTTTAAGGCTTTGCACACTTCTCCAGATAAGATTGGATTATGTGCCTTGTCAATGATGAAGAATTTCACCTTGATCTCTTTGGTGTCTCTGCCATCATTCCAATGTCCTTCGTTTCTTCGCCATCTCTTGTTGAGATTTCTGCTTTGTATACAATACTTGTTGATAAACATTTACTGTCAAGCGGACATTTGGCTTTAACATGACAGTTACACGAGCGAGAAAGGAAAGAAATGTGTAACTGTCATGTTAAAGCCAAATGTCCGCTTGACAGTAAATGTTTATCAACAAGTATTGTATACAAAGCAGAAATCTCAACAAGTGATGTTAGTACATTGGAATGACAGCAGGGACGTTCAAGAAGAGGTATGCCAATCATAAAAAATCACCAAATGTTCCTCGGTATTCAGCGGAAACAGAATTATCAAAGTATGCGTGGAAACTCAAGAAAAGCGGGAAACAATACAACATCAAGTGGAGCATACTAAGGCCACGTTTACACTACGACGCTATGGCAAATTTACCGTAGCGTAGTGATTTGCATCCGGAGAGTGCCAAACGTAGTGGTGTGTAGTTAATACAGCAACAAACCACACTCCGTTATAGTGTAAACACACAATACTAAGAAACGTAGTGAATTTTTAACGAAATTGATTTCCGCAGTTAATAGGCTACGGCAACCCACTCCGTTATAGTGTAAACACAATATAATTCCATAGTTAGTATGCTACGGCAAACCACTCTGTTATAGTGTAAACACAACATAGTCTCAATACTAGAAACGTAGTAAATTTTTAGCGAAGTGTTTAGCCGTAGCGTCATAGTGTAAACGTGGCCTAAAGCGTGCCCGTGCATATACAGCTGGTGCAGCAAGATGCAATCTGTGCCTTGAAGAGAAGGTTTGCTTACTGGAAGCTGACAAAAGCAGGATATTGAATAAGCACTCAGAACTATTTGCGAAGTGTTGTCACAGAAATAGCTCTAGCGCACGCAAATTTGAATGCACACGAGATGCGTCAGCAAACTGTTAGTTTAGGTCACGTCATTGAATAAACTTCAATCGCCTGAAGATCGCTTCGGAAGAAGCGTGAACCACAGTGTAGCGATAAATATAGTTTAAGATTAAAGAATTATTTAAGCTCTATCACGTATATGGTATTGAGCACTCTTTGTTCCATTATGGACAACAAGAATTAATTATTTATATATCTACCAACTGAGCTACACGGTCAGACAGATTTAATGAATGAATGTCATAAACATACTCGTTTATATTACAATTTCGCTCTTTTACTAGTTCAAGTAAAAATCCCTGCCCCTCCCCAGTTGGGGGGTTTACATTGACTGGTGCATTAATTAAAGAAGTGTCAGTGCCACATATGTAGTAAAAGCAACTTGTCAGTAAAGGCCACAGAGCAAAATTGTATTTCAAAGACTGCCAGCGGCAAAAACAATTGATAGCCCTGAAATAGAGTATGCCAACAGTTAGTATACTACAAATAACTATTCTATCAACAAGATAATGTGTGTTTTTACAAGTGTTTTTATATATCAATCCAATGGCATGTAACCTAAAACTCAGCAGTGTCTGTGTAATGTAATACACCCTTACTTTTCAATGGTCGAATTAACTATACTACATTAGGGCCATTTATACGGAACAAAATAAGACGCGACTTACATAAGACGCGACTTAAATAAGACGCGAGTTTGTCGTATAAAAGGTACAAAATTCTTATGTAAGATGCGTCTTGGATAAGACGTGTCTTACATAAGAACAGGCCTTTTAGCTGTTCTTATCTAAGTCGCGTCTTAAATAAGAAATTTTGGACAAAAAGTTTAACTACACATGCCAGAAACTTGACACAACGTAAAATTATTAGCCTTGCATATTAAAAAAAAAAACCCCCCGAAACAACATTATAGCTATGGCAAGTAAATAAGAATAAAGCCCTAGAGAACCATTTATGCGATAACTCCGCTTATTTAAGTCGCGTCTTATGTAAGTCGCGTCTTATTTTGTCTCGTATAAATGGCCCTATTGTGTATAATATATGGACTGGTTCAAAAATATATTGAATTAAGTGTTGAACTGGTGAACTATTGATGTAGAGATTATGCCAAGTATACAATGGCACAAGGAATTTCATGTTATCAGCATGATTAAATTGTGAGATTGTGCAAATAATCTGTGTAAAATCTCTTAGAGATATCCTCAGTAGCTTCATTTTAAGGTAAAATGACTATGGTAAAGCTATTCAAGGCAAAAAAGCAATGGATCTGCCAACCTCATTGTCAACAGTAAATTTAACTGAATTTATGATCCATTTATTGCCGTATTTTAGCTGAGAATTCATTTAAGACAATGCAATATGATAGACTTACCTTTGAATTTATCATATATTCTTTTAAAATGGTCACCAAAGCTCTAAAACTTGTTTGGTATCGTTTTAACTTTCTCACCCCTTAATGTTTACATGTAAATTTGTCAAATTACACTTGTTTAGGGCACTGGAAACGAGACGCGGCCAAGATGCGCGAGGCGACATGCGCGGGGACATCAACATCAAAGATTCCGACATCGAGTGAGACTTCTGGTCTTATTATTTATTTTGTGGTTATATGCTTGTTTGCTTCATTATGCAGAGTTTTTCTTCTGTGCAGAGATTGCAACGCTTTGCACCGGATGAGTATGTGCCTGCCCGCTTCAAATTTTATGTCTATTTAAATGTGCACTTTTAGATATTTGATATTGAACCAATTATCAAAGTCGTTTTGACTTGTTTTTCTCAGTGTCTTTTTAGTTATATTATCTGTGTTGTTGTTATGTATTCAGTTAATTGTTAGAGATCAGTGTTGCTTGAGATTAAAGATGGCGGCCGTATGAAATATACAACATGGTGTCAGGAGTGGGATTTTGTTTTAGTTTTAAGGAATAAAAATCGAATTGAGTGAACAAAAGCAACAAAAATGGCAGAAGGATACCCAAGGTCTTATCATTGGCCCCACCATGAACTGGCCAGCAAAAGATCTCTATCGCGTCCTCTGAATGGGAGCGTAGCTCCAACCAGTGTTATTTCACAATATAAAACAAAAGTATTCAAGTTGACTCCGCTTAGAAGTCTAGAAATATATTAAATGAGCAAACAAAAAAAAACAAAGTGTTCATACAGGTTGGCTTCGCTTTGAAGCCATGATAATCCCCATTATAAGCACCGGTAAAAAGTTTGTTCTGTAGTCAACCCCAACTAACTACATAAAAGTAACTTCACGCTTTTTATATCGTAACGATCTACCCACGCAATTCACCGTCCTTGATACATTTGCATATCGAAACATGACACTCCTCGCCCAAGACCGAAGGTCTTGCTACGCCCTATTATGATGAGGTATCACATTCCCTGGATTGAGTCTTTGCACGTACAAGCAGGACCAATTCCTTGATCGGACGTAA